GTATCAAGATGTTAAAATTAAAGTTAAACAATTTTGAAGTAAAAATGGCTGGTTTCACCCACTCACTGTTTAAGTGCCTAACCATGAGTATTACTTCTTATTCATGCATTATAACTTTATATAGTGTTGACTTTTCTTAAACTTATGAACACTGGTCTAATTAATGTCGCAGCCATTAATCTCATAATTATCCATATTAAGTCTGTTCCCTTTGTGTACCTACTCACTTTCTGTGAGACACTTATGGCATATCCTATACCTTAGCTCACCTATTCTCTCTGCCTGTTTCAGCTATGCCATCATCACTAAACTTACCTGAAAAAACAGTATTGGTTCCACAGATACTAAACATTGCCAAATTGTTATTATCATTACACCCATATTTTAAAAAAATCAATGTCTTTATTCTTTGAGAATTTTTTATGTATACAATGTGTTTTGATCATACATATCCTTTCCCCATTACTTTCTGACCCTTCCACATTCACATTCCTGTCCAAATTTTATGTCCTTTTCCTGCCCAATAGCTCAGAGTCTTACTAGAGATGCCCATATATGTCTGCTTCTAGGCCCATCCTCTGGAAAATATGCAACCTAATATGGGCCACAACCAATACTGATATCAATATCCCCTTGAAGCCACCAAATGCAAATAACTCTTCAGTTAGGGTAAGGTCTCAGAAGATCCTCCTCTATCTTTAGAATTTTGACTGGCTTGATTTTATGCAGGTCTTATGGAGTCAACCTCTGCTACTATCTGTTCATGAGTATGTCTACTTATCAAGTCTATTGGGTGCTGCTTTATAGGTTATTCCCACCTCCTATCATCTTTCTATGCCTTCTACAATATTCCCTGGGCATAAAGGATCACAGACATGTGCTTTGTTTTAGAAATTTTGTCAAATAATGTTTTAAGGAGTCAATACTCAACATAATTAATTACATTTTCTTTCTTGAAAAATTTCCTTTAGATTTTTGGCCCTTAGTTCCTCTGAGTCTCACAACTTAAAATTGAAACACAGGTCTCTCTGAAAGTCAAGCTGGCTTCCTCAAACTTCTCCTGCCCTCTATCTGTTTCTTCCTTGCCTTGTGACTATAAGCATCTGTTATGTCACCTTTAACTACACAAAGAGTTCACACTGATCTGCCATGCTCTTTTAGATCTCTGGCTCAACTTCAGCTTCTGACTCTCTACCCTCTCCTTTGATCAGTCCTGCCCCAACTGTAGCATTCTCACCTTGATTATCCATCTGTGCTAACATCCTAGCTCTTCCCTCATCCTTGCATATTACTCTTTATAGCATTAGTACAGGATCAAAATCCACAGGGTTCAGGTATGACAAAATATTCACACATATAAAAAAATAATTTGACATTCAAAATGTGTTATACCTTGAGAGATCATTTACAGAATAACACAAAGTATACTATATATGTGAACTTATATTTATAAAGCATTTATCTTTTTTATTTTATGTCTTGTATATGAATCCTGTGTGTGTGTGTGTATTTGTGTGTTGTATATGAGAAAGAACATGTAGTTTATGTAGTTTATGTCTGGTTGCTATACTTCTAAGTCCACTCATTTTCTACAATTTTTGTGAGTTCATGCTTTAGAGCTGAATGGCAACTTTTAAAAATAAGCCAAGTTTTTTGTTTGTTTTGTTTTTTTAATGACTGATATATTTGGAGTAATCACCATCAAAGGATGGTACTCATGAGTCGATAGAAATCAAAGACAGTAGTCAATGTCGTAGAGTGCAGCAGTGGGCCCTCACAAGAGAACTCCCCAACCCAGTCTCAGTAGGGCCGAGCTTGTGAAAACTGACACAGAAGAGCTTATTTCAAAGTCAGTCCTGACCATGGGAGACAGTGTGTACTCACCCAAGCATCTTCAGGTTGCAGTCTTTGTTATTCAAAGCCTCACAGAGCACCACCAGCCCAGAGTGGTCCAAGGGCTTCCAGTCCAGATTTAAGCTCTTCAATGTTTTGCAGGTGGTGAGAGCCAAGGCTAGGTCTTCACAACAGTCACTGGTGAACTGACACATGTCTAACCTATGATGGGAGCACACCAGAAATAGAATGTGTTGTTCAGTGCCAGTTCCAGGCTTCTGAGCAACAAAACCTAGCCAGTCCCAAATGTCCACAGTACCAACACTGGGAAAATCCTTGTTTCAAATCAAAATGGGTTGTGACCCACAAGCTGAAAAGTGTTGTTCTAAATGCTTTGCATTATTCCTATGTATTAGTTTAGCTCTCAAGCCTCAAAGAAACTTCCTTTTGCCATGGATTTGATAATATATACACACAACTAGTCAAAATTCAGAGAGTGTACAGTGTATGAAGGCACAAATGAGGCACTGATATCATTCCCTACACCCATGACCCAGAGACTACAACAGAAGCAGGGGCAGAAAGACTAGAAGAGCCAGATATTGTGGTAGGGGAAAACACAACAGGAATGTTTCAGTCAATCTCACAGCATCTGTTGCTGCCTGTATAAGACCTGTGCATTTTCTCAAAATTTATGAGCCTATGCTAGTTGGACTTCTTCTTAACCCTATTAATCCCCTAGCATTTCCTGATCAAGGTGTGAACCCTCCCAGCATGACAGTTAGTAAGGACTCACCCAAGACACTTCAATTTACAGTTAGGATGACACAGAGCTTCACATAACTGTTTGACACCAGAGTCTTGTATGTTATTGTTGCCCAGTTTCAAGGTCTTTAGATTTTTATTGCAAGTAAGGACAACAGATATCTCTTTACAGCATTCTGAAGTTAAAAAGCAACCCGACAACCTGGGAAAATATACATGTAAACACACTGACTTCCCAATCCTTTTGTTTTGTTTCATTCTTAATTTTATTTTTTAGAACATCATATGAGTACTGAATCTCCAGCCAGTTATATCACTCCACGTCTCCTTCCAATTCCTGGCAGTTCCTCCTTCAAAATTAACAATCTCTTCTTTATTCTTGTCATGTGCATACACATGATATATGTGTGTGCATGCACATATATACTTGCACATATAACCCATTAAGTCCATTTATTTTTCCCTATATGGACATGTATCCAGGGGATTGGATAACCTTGATCAGAGCTTCCCCTGGTGTAGACTGATTCTCCCTCACAGCAGCCATTCATTGACTGTCTTCCTTCTTTTGAGACAGAATCTCACGTAACCCAGTCTGGATTCAGACTCATTACACAGCTGAGGATGACTTTGAACTTCTGACCATCCTACATCTATCTCTCAGTGCTGAGATTACAGGCATGCTGCTACCCTAGCTTTCTTAAGCCTTTGCTGGAGAATCAAATGCAGGACTTTGTGTATACAAAACATTCAACCAACTGAGGTATACCCACAGTCCATGAGATTCCATCTTAACAGCCTGGGTTATCTGTAGGGAACACAAATTCCCAAGAAATTATGAAATTCTGATGATGGTTCTCCATTTGGAGTCCTCTACCCCATGTTGGCTCCCTGAAGTTCTGCTTTGATCTCACTATGTGGTATTCCTACTCCCATTCCCCCTAGTTATAATACATATGCTTAAAAAAAAATCAGTGGAGCTGTCTTATCACTGATTTCAGATTCATGTGCCATATCACCATATATTGAACTTCAAGTATTTAATATAACATGTCCTCAAACTTTTCCTGAGCCTCAAGTTAATGGTTCCCCATGACACATTAAATAATAAAGGTGAAGAATAGAGAATTTATAGATGTTGCATAGATGCTAATAATAGACTTTAGGCAAATGTATGTTAGATGGATAATCAACATATAAAAATTAGTAGATATACAGATTGTAATAGAAAGTGATGTGCAGATGAATATAGGAAGAGGTTGATTATATGTAAGTAAAGGATATATTTGAAAATGGTAGACTAGGAAGACATGTTAAATTCTTGGATGAAGATAATAGGTGGGTGGATATGAGATAGAACGATAGATATGTAAATAGACACAAACACATGCATGGAGAGATGATTGATGGATATATATATATATGTATATATGAATTTATGAAAGGATAATGTGTGTATAAAATGGCTCTCAAGCAGGGAAGAATTTTCCCCTCCAGGGGATGCATATAGTATCTAGATATACTTCGGTTTGCCACTCTAAGCCAGAGAGTGTTACTGGGATCTAATTGATATAGACATACTACTGTAAACCTCTACAAATCACAGGACAGCCACAACAAAATACCAATAGTGTAAAGACTTATAATCTGTGATGTTAGTACATAGACACAATATCTTTGGGCATGATATGCAGACATGTCCACTACATCAATTCTGTCAGCTAAGGACTATACTTAACCTTCATATATATCAAGAAAGAGACATAAGAAAAGTCCCCTGCCAAAGTGCCCACTGCCACTAACATTCCGTTCATTCCATTAAGTGCTAATTCAAGAGCAGCATATAATACAGCCCTTGTGACAACTCCTTTGATAGAGACTACAGTCAGCAAGCCATTGAGCATCCCATGAGGATCAGATCACAGCCTTGTTTTCTTAAGGAAACATCATTCTCTGTGATGTCTTAATCTGTTTGGCCTGCTTTAATGAAACAGTAGACTGGATCGCTCATAAATAGATATCAGTCAGATGATTACAAAGTCTAGAACCCAATATCAAGGTATAAGCTGGTTGCTACAGTATGTGCAGAAAGCCAGATATCCTGGTTCATAGATAGAACTTCATTTGTGTCAGTGTACATGTTCCTATGTGAGTGTATGTGTTGGGGGTTGGGTACCCATGGAGGCCAGTAAAGGACATTGGTTCCCTTGCTGCTGAGGTTACGGGTGATTGTGACCTAGCAAACATGAGTGCTGGAATGCAGAGTCTGGTCCTTATGATTCATTACCAAGTGCTCTCAAGCACTGAGTCATCTCTGAAGCCTTGATAGAGTGTAAATGTTTTAGCATGTGATGAAGCAGTAGTCTCTGTGGACTCATCCTCATAACCCAATGACCCAGGGCTCCACATCGTAAGACAGATATCATGGGTGGCAGGCTTAAGACAATTTCTAAAGTGACAATGACATTCAGAAAACTCTACCCTTCTCCTTCTGAATGCCAACACCTGAAACAGCAGCACCAGCAATAGGTGAGAACACAGCCCTACCATAACTCCTTGAGGATACAGTTTGGGTCTTTCAAAGCTTCACACAGAAGGTTCACTCCAGTATCTTCCAGGAAATTTAACCCCAAATCAAGCATCAAGAGGTGTTTGTTGCTCAAAAGGGCTTCATAGAGATGGCCACAGGCAATGAATGTGAGACAGCAGGAAGACAACCTGAAAGAAGATCACATGTTGTGTCTTCAGTCTTTCATGTTCTTCCTATACTGAATTTCTACTTTGCAGGAAAAAACTGAAATGGTCTGTGAGACAGCTAAATACCCTTGCTACCAAGTCTGAGGACCTGCGGAGGATCCTTTCTATAAAGTAGCAATCCCCTAGGAATGGATGGCTTTCAGAGTTTGGCGCCGAATGGGGACTCCTTTTCTCATTGGGGCTTTCCTTTCCATACCTATCTTATTCTGGAGAGTGTCCCTAAACACAGGTGGCTGGCGTCAAGTGTCCTTGTCTGAAAAGTGACATTGTACAGAGCTCTCTGAAAGGGTGCATAACTCAGCACATGCATCCCTCTCTGGCTTGCATTAGCATGCATTCCACCTGCATGATAATTAGGCCCCCTTGATGGCATGACCAATTAGCTCTTTCCACCTCTATCCCTAAAAAAATCCCTTCTATGCCCCATCTCTGAAACAATAAACTAGACTTGTCTTGCTACAGCAGTCTTTGGAGGTCATTCTGTCCATATTCATGGGTGTCTGAAATGTGCTCTCCATCTCTGACCCATTTAGTCTCTCAGGCTAGTGGCCAACCACCTTGAGCAAAAGAGGGGGGTCACAAGGATCTGAGTTAATTTCCAAAGGATAGAAGCAAATAACCAACTCCCACAAGCTGTCTTCTCCATATGTTTGTGAGTTCTCTCTCTCTCTCTCTCTCTCTGTCTCTCTCTCTGCCTGTCTCTCTCTCTCTGTCTCTCTCTCTGCCTGTCTCTCTGTCTCTCTGCCGGTCTCTCTCTCTCTGTCTCTCTGTC